AGTATGTAGTGCTCATGCAAAAGAAAATTGGTTTTACCTTCATACATTAAATTTCTCCTCCCTTGGCTAATAATCCTCTGCATGTTAGTCTCATGACTGCTTTAAAGATTTTTGAATTAATGCTGAAATTATTCATTTGGGTAGTAGAAGCATCTGTTTCAGTATTGTATCCTTGTCTGGTATTTCATTATATATGGGATGATGCACTAGAAAGGCACTTGAGCTGCAGGATATAAAAACACCACAAAGGCACAGAAAACATTTGTTGGAAGAGTGCTTTATGAATTTGTATGCATTTCTTTTAGAAAATATCACGTATTGATGTCTAATATTTATTACTGCTTCTTGCCGGGACCACAGGGATTAACTGGGGAATGGCAGCAAAGGGATCGGGTGCTGGTGGCTGGTTCTGACATGGCTGTGGGTCAGTGGGAGCTGGGGTTCAGAAGATGGGAAGTGGAAAAGCTCCATTCCTTGGAGACCACAGAACTGGCCTAAGTCAGCTTGGGCTGTCCAAAGGAGTGAGGTCTTAGCTCGGTTGTACAACATGCAGGGCTCACTGGGCAGCAGTGGCAGCAGTGGAAGGTGTAAAGGAAGGTACCAGGAGGAGATGAGGACTGCTGGCTGCTGGCAGGTAAACCTCTGCTCTAAGGGAGTCCTGAGTTTGATGGAGACTGGACTTCTAGTTATGAAATGGGACAGCTGGAGATGGGGGAGTTTGAGTGTGCGTTCAGCTATTTAGGACAAAGGGTGGTACCCCCATGGGTGCACAGGTTATGATCTGTGCTGTGGGGTGTCTGCATAGGGACAATATGATCATCACAGTTCTGGGCTTAGAAGCCAGTTTCTTGGAAAGCCTTCAGTTAGGATGAAATCTTCTGTCCCTAAAGACAAAAGGCTTATAGTGACTTTTATGTGAGCTGTAAATCACTGGCCTCTCATTAGGGTTAAGGTTAGGTTTCGGATTAGGGTTCAGACTAGCATCCTTAGGAACCGATTTTACTCTTGATCCTCTAAATCCCTGCTGGGGATAAAAGGCTTATAGTTTGTTATCAAGTGATAGTGATGGCTCCCTTGGCTGTTTTTAAGGCCAGGTTTGGTGCAGATGGCAAATGAATTTTCAGAGGAGCACAGTGCTCAAGAGCTTGATTCATGGGTGGATCTTGGCCCATGCTTTATAGGTCTTCAAGGAACCATGGGAAAACCATTTTTTTCCTGCTCTTTTTTTTGAAGCCTAACCCTATGGTACATGAACTGTTGGCATAAACTCAACTCAGAAGGAAATAGGAACCATTTGTCAGGGGAAGTAGCAGCACATATTTTAGCCCTACAGACCTGCAGGCCTTCAGATATTACCCAATAAAACAAACTAGTCCATTCTTTCTTTTCGAAACCCCAAATCCAGTTTTAAGTCTGTTTTCTCCTTAGGGCTCACCCTGTACCTTTTCTCCTGGAAGACATCCGGTCCCCAGGAGCCTTGTGTGGTGGGTGATAATCCTGCCCATATTGCCCCTTTCTGAAGTGGATTCCTAAGAAGCTCCTGCAGTTTAAGCCTGCCAAACTGCAGTGGGAACGTCCTTCTGCCCACTCCCCTATGGATGCCCTTGTGCTGCAGCTTCTCTCCTGCTCGTCCTCAGTACCGCAAAGTAATTACAGGCTTTGCATGACTTTGAGCAGAAGCAGTTGGGTGCAGGAAGTGGGGAAGAGAAGAATAAAGAAGGAGGAAACAGGAGAAGTGTGAGAATGAAGGCTGGAAGGAATTTCAGGTGGGTTTCTCCTGTTTCCTGACCTCCTGTGGTTGCTCCATGTCTCCTCAGGGATGCACACTTCACCTCTGAGAGCCACTGCTCTCTGCAGCCTGAGGTTTTCTTGGCTTGTGTCGTGGTTTAAACCCAGTCAGGCAACTTGTTCACTCACTCCCAGTGAGTGGTGCCGAGCTGACAGCAATCGAGGTCGTGTGTCGTCGTGTCCCCCCCCCCCGCCCTCACCGGGGGGCTCTCCCCTTCCCCGCTCCCGGAGGAACGGGGAGGAGGATCGAAAGAGTGCAAATCCCACGGGTTGAGACAAGAACAGTCCAGCAACCAATGTACAACACAAATCACCACCGCTACTATCAACTACAACAATGATAAGGGAAAATAACAAGGGAAGAGAATACGATACCACCGGCCAAGAAACGAGTCCCACCCGGAAGCCCGTGTCCTTCCGGGTAACTCCCAGTTACCCCCACCCCAGCCATGACGTGCTGTGGTATGGAATGCCTCCCTGGCTAGCCTGGGTCAGGCGCCCCGTCTCTGCTTCCTCACAGCTTCCCCTCCTCCCTGGCAGAGCATGAGCCTCACAAAGTCCTTGGTCAGGGTAAACATCACTTAGCAACAACCGAAAACATCGGCTTCACCAACACTGTTCCCAGGCTAGAAGTCAAAACACAGCACTGCACCAGCTAACACAAAGGAAAAACATGACTGCTTGAAATGCTGATCTGGGCCAAATTCCAGGCATTTACTCATTTAGATTAGTAAATCTAAGAGAAATTAAAGATGAAGATGTATTATCAGAGTCTTTAGCTTCTGTGTGATATTGCTGCATGCCTATGATTTTGTCATTACCTCAGTTCTTGAGAAGTAGAAATTGCTTTCAGTAATTTAATTCTTACTCTCTTTTATTGCGTTCTTGTGTTGCTTCCTTGACCTCGTGTCTCTTCACTGAGTTATAACAGGTTTTTACAAAATTTCCTTGGATGTCTATGTTAAATAACTGAATGTTCTCTGTCACTTGTAACTGAACATGAAAACTGGGTTTACATACAAGTTCATAGAGCTTAGGGCTGGACAGGACCATCTGATCATCTGTTCTGATACTGCCTGTGTCACAGGCAGTGCATGTCTGTCTCCCGCCCTTCTGTTGACTGCAGTAGCTTATGTCTGACTAAAACAGATCTTTAGTGAAAGCAGCCAGCTTTCATTTGGAGCCCGCAAAAGGTGGACAACACTCGGCTTTCCAAAGTGATTTGGTAATTACTAGCATTGACAAGTATTTCGGCTTTATTTTTGGTTTGAGTTTAACCTTCTTACAGCATCTTCAGATACTGTTTCCTGGTACTCCTTCATTCAGTGTTTTCTTCAGGAAAACAAACTTCAGTAATGGAGACCCCTCATTGCCTCCACGCAGAACCAGGCTGCCTGCACCCAGGTGTTGCTGTCCTCTCCTGGAAGATGCTCTTTGCAGCCACAGTGACAACCTTGTGCCATATTCCTGCGTTTTCCCCTGTTTTCTCATTAGCTTTGACATGCGTGGTTAGGAGAACCATGGAGTGCATACAGCATGCCAGTGCTGCAGCTGGAAGAGTATTGCTGCCTGCAGCCAGTGCTTCACGGGCACCTGCTGGGACAGTGCCTAGGTGAGGCATAGACTGGTGACTGGGGGGGCAGTCACTCCTTTAAAGCATCTTTTAAAGCAAATGGGATTTTTTACCCAGCAAGCACTAACTTTCATTCATTTGGCTTATCCCAGGCCAGTGTGGTTTGGTTCAAAGCAAAATACTCTAACCAAATGTTGGGGTGGGGGGTGGTGTTGGGACAGGATTTGATGTTTTAATGATCTTGAAAGTTGGTTTCTGTGTCAGGTATGGATGATAAAACAGGGCCTGGCTCACATGCTGTCCTTAAATAGCCTCTTCTGTTGCCACCATTGAAGGCAGAACAGCGTGCTGGAAGGGCCACAGGGCCAATCCAGAATAAATTTTCTTATGTTCTTATTTTAGGATCTAAAATTTGCGTTCTGGTGACTCTTCATGAAGTACTATGGCTTCCTCCACAGCAGGTTGTGCCAGCTTGCCCAAGGACTGCAACGTTCGCTTTAGCTGGACTTGCTTTGCATACTGCCTTTTGTCAAGTGTAATGTAGCACCACAATTAATTACACACTCCACTGCCAGTGTTTGAGCAGAGCTGAGTTCATATCCTGAGTTCTGCTTCAAAGGAAATCATCACTGGAAATCATGTATTTTATACCACTGTCCTTTATGTAATGGTTCATACCAGTCATTAAACTTCTCTTACATTCTGTCCTTTAAACAGAAGGATTTAAAGATTACCAGCCCATTGAAAAACAGCCTCCCTTTTAGAAAATAAATACAGGCTCATACCTCTTGCTGTGCAGTTCGGAATGGGATATTTGATGCTTCACAGTTTTTCAAGAAATGAAACTGTAATGTGTCATTAAGCACTTCTCCATCATGGGTAAGAGTATCATCGTGAATGTTACCCCGGATTATCCTGTAATCCCCACAGGCATACCTGCAGAAATCCTGAAGCCATATCGAGTCTTAAAGGTGTTGATTCAGTGAAGGCGTTTGTGACTGTGCATAATGCAATGTGAACATTTGTGCTGGAGTGTCCTTCTTAGCGTGGAACTGAATCCCAGCTGTTTGTTGTAAGTCTGACCCAGCTCCTGCTCTTCATCTACCCAGGCAGCATCTGTGTTCCTGAAGAACCAGACCCTCCTCCTGTCCCAAAATACATGTCAGTCTGAGAGTCCCCAGGCGTTTCCGTCTGTACTGGGTAGGTGAGATGCAGGTGGCTGGTGGTCAGTGACGCTAGCATGTTGTCCGTTTTTGCACCTGAAGACTATGCTGGCAACATCACATCTGGCAGTTGGCATTGCAGCCCGTCATGTTGCAAAAAGGGTTACACATCTGCATTGGTGTCTGAAATGTGATTCTCTGGGATGCAGCTTTGCAGGGTAAGGGCCCATCAGCTGGACGTTTGGCATCCTCTTCTGACACTAGTTCTGCTTTGTCTTTGGATGCACATGGAAACAACACATGTGGCAAGGACATGGGAGGGACTGTGCCTGGGAATGTAATGGCATCCCCGAGCAGCTCAGACATGGAGGATTTTCTGGGGTTTTCAGTGTTTCTTATGTAAAGTAAGTTTTCTTTGACTGTTCGCAGAAGATTTTTAGATTATGTAGGAATATTATTATAGGAATTATAGGAAGCCTAGGTGTGTTTAAATGCACTTTGTAAAAGCAGTCTTGCTGGCATCTCCATTCCTGATGTCTGTGAGAAATCCTCCCCGGTGCTCAGATTGCAGTCCTGGTGGTATCTTTTTTAGCCTGAAACTGCAAGTGATCTGTAAAGAATCTGCTGGATTCTTTACATCTCACATCTGGTCCCCATTAAGCAAACACTTAACACTGCCCAAGCTGTAGCAGGGCAGCACCTGCACACAGGGGTACAGCTATAGCTGTGAGGCAGCTCGGTTCCCAGCAGAACAGACCCACAGATGGGGTGAGTTACAATCCCAGCAGCTATTTCTTCATCCTCAGCTTCAGCTGGGTGTTAGAGGGTGTTTGACTTTTAATGTCTACTGGTGTCTGGCCAAATGATGAAGCAGTTGAGAGATGTGGAGTTCTTTTGTCCTTCTCAATGTGTGCTGCGGTGCTGGCTCTTCAAAAGCAGGTAGCTGATAATGCAAGGTGAGACTTGAAGCAGCTGAAGGTTACTGTAATTTCACTGTGTGATCTTGCTGATAATAAGTCAAACAAGTTTGGTTTTTCCTGACAATGAAACAGCCTAGAAAAGCAAAAGGATTGCATTAAAAATAGTTACAGGGAATCTGTTGTGCTTGCAGCTTCTGTAATTGTTATGTTATTAATAATGTACTTCACACATCCATAGAGCTTCTTCTGCTCCTTCCTCCAGCAGTTGCTGTGAAGAAATAGGTAACCTGGTGTTATCAAACCTGTGCTGTCAAGCAAAACTTTAATAGATACCCATGTGTTTATGTGCCAGCAGATAGGTATGGAACTGTCAAGCATTCTATGCAAATAAAGGGTTATTCTGCTGTAACATTGTCCGTTCATTCAATTTTCTGCTTTAATAACTCCTGAAAGAGGCTTTTAAATCCTAAGTTGAATTTCAGGTGAAAGCCCTGCATTACAGGTGCCGTTCTTTGGTCTGTGTTTGCACCCCAGCCACCATGGTGCTATGGGGAAGTGCGCTGCTGGTCTTTGCAGTCTGCAGCAATCAGTTCGGAGATGCCTTGGTGAGCGGTCCCTCAGGGTGAAATCACAGTGTGCTCTGTGCAGTGCTGTTCCTGGTCTGTGTGTATGTAATCATTTTGGTTAAGTAGAAAAAGTAATATTCTATTCATTTGAATATTGTAACATCTGACATAGCTGCAACGCTCTGATATTAATGGCTCACTTGAGGCCAATTCTTCTACTCGAAAGGCTTTTTCCATTGCAAATTCATCATGCAGGCATCAGGCAAAGAGTTATTCACTTTTTTCCATGAAGGACAGATACTGATATTCTCCCAAGATGTGAAAATAGATACCCTTATCAGTATTGCTTAGCATACAGGCTGTGTGCAGAAGCAATACTGTACAATTGAGACGCCCCGTGTAGCATTGAAGATCTCTGCTTTTCCACAGAGCAGTCAGGGGATTGCTTGGATGTTACACCTTCAGCTTAAAACTGGATTTTTGTTGAGTTTCATGTTCTTCCATCACTATATGTAGCAGGATACATATTTTGGTCTGGGTAATGTGAGCTCCCATTCTTTGAAATTACTTGAATGTTAATTGAAGGCAAGGACAGATGTCTTTGAATAGCCCAAGGCATTGCTTGTGCAGTGGGGAGGACCTGAACAAGAGCTGCTCCTAGGCTGTGGAGCTGGGTTTAACCTGCAGCTCTTCTCCAGTCTCCCAGTGAGACTTCGAGCAAGTTGCTGAGGCTTCCATTTTTCATTGCTGAAATGCACAAAATAGCATCTTTCTTTTCATGTGCAGCTCTCTCATGTGCTAACAAGGAACACCGTGGGACAGAAATCCTTTTTAGCATGTATTTCCTTGTATAGCACATCTGGCGCTTTCCTGTGGCTGAGGTCTCATCATCACACGGTAGCGGCGATGTCCCACAGTCAGCTGCCAGCCTCCTGGGCCTTGGGGAATGGCATGGAAAACAGACTGAAATGCTGTTGTTCCTGCTCAGCTGCATGCTGAAATTGCACATGGAACGTGAAAACCTCCTAAGCTGCATGTTCTCGCAGGCTGTGAGCAGAGCATCCAGCCTCCCTGCTTCACGAGCTGGACATGCCAGAAGCAGTGGTATCCTGAAGCCTGCAGCCCAGGGTTATCCTTAAAGACCAAAGTCCAAGAACTTTCTCCTGTGGTACCATCCCAGTTTTGCTTGAGAAAATATCTAGTAAATGCTGGTAAAATGAACTGCTTTTGGCTGCTGAGCCTCCAGTGATGGGTGATTTGGACTAGCAATGAACATGCGGTCTTGGTGCTGCCAGCTGAGGTCTGAGCATTATTACGTAGGGCAGAATTGATTGATTTCCTTGTCTAAATTATTCACAAGCTTAGTCATTACTTTTGTAGCTGATAATTTCACTTGGAGCTTGGGACCTGCCATATTATGGCTTATGAAAGTTTAACCATCCATGAACTCTTAGGCAATAAATCACTGTGATGCTGTATTGCTCTTCAGACTTCATTGGAGCACATCATTGGAACGCCAAGAGAAGTGCAGAGAATTGCAGGGTACAGCGTTTAATGCTGAAGCATCCCCACAAGTTTTGGGATTCACATCCTGATCTGCAACAACCCTTATGCATGGGTCTGATTTTAAGCCTGCCCTTTCAAAGTCTCATCCCCTGGTGCTCTTCAAGGTTCAAATCCTACTTTGCAGATGGGCTGGTGGTTGCTTTTTTTCTGCAGGTGATGTGCTTGTCCCAGACATTTACAGAGAGGCCTCTGTTGACTCTCAGATGGGAGCATTTAGCTGTGATGAGTGATTGCCCGAGGGTTGTGTGGTTGGCCTCTACAAGCATGAACAAAATGAGGGACTGTCTGCTTGGGAACATAGGTAGGTTTCAGGTGGGGTTTCAACAGAGCTGTAGCAAGGCAAGTGTTCAGTGGTGGTTGTTGGATTTTTATTATGATGATTTTTAATTTAATCTGGCTATTTTAATGCTCTTTGCTTCCAAAAGCCATGCAGCTGTCTGCAGAGAGTGCTGACAAGTAATTTGAGATGTCTGAGACAACAGCCTGGACTCTATAAATGTAGAAATGAATGTATATTTGTAATTCCAGTGAGTGCAGTTTTGTACTGAGAAGCGCATGCCTGCTGTGCTGGGGTTGGGGTTTGGTTTTGGGTGTGTTTATTTAATTGTGGGTTTAGTGTCTTGGCTAGGCTTTAACTAGCAATGGATAAAGTTAGGCATTTATTTAAACGCAAGTTGTGCTTAAGTCTAGAATTGCCTGAAGTATGTTTCATCTGGCATGGCTCTAAGCTGATTAGATCAGGTTTGATTTCTTCAGTTTTAAGAAGCTCCTTTAAATGTAATTAAAGCAGTTGGCAGAAAAATGGAGATCTGAAAACTCAGTGTATCTGGGTTCCCTGATTTAGTAGGGCACTGTGGGTGTGTTAACACGTGCAGTCCCCTGTGGTGACCTACCTTCTCGTTAATGGATGTGCTCATGACACTGCACATTTAATCCTGGGGGGAAATAATGGGTTTTGTCACTCACAGGGTCGTCTTTGTCCCCTCTCACAGCCCCTGCAAAACTCTCCTGACCTGGTCAACAGGTATTTTGTATTAGTTTTATTTACTGAGAGGGAGGAGCAGAAATAAAATGCAACTAAAGTGTGTTCTGTAATCTGGTAAATAGTTTCTGTGCTAAGGGAGGTAATTTTTGGTGAAGGTTTTACAAACCTGCATTACAGAGGTGCTTAACTGCATAGATAGTACAAAAAAGCATCATTACTTTTAAGAAATCAGGTTTCCTTCTGACAGCAGATCTGGAGTCAAGCGCCTCGCAGGCTGGTGGGAGCGAAGGGGGGATGCAATTCGTTTCTTCAGAAGTTATTGCAGTGTGTCAAAAAATTGCTATTTTCTCATGGCATACGGAGTGGTACGTGCCTGCCTTTATAACATGACCTATATAAAGACAGTGTCAAAGCTGTCGTTGCTATGTGCCGGAGGTTCTGCGTTTCTGGGCTTATTCAGGAAAAAAAAAATCCATTTTTAATAGCAGGCTTGCATGAACACGGAGTGCAGAATCTGGCCTCTGCAGCCTGCCGTGCTCTGTGAGGATGCGGATCGGCTCCTGTCCGTGATACCCTGCAGCTCTGACTCCATGCCAGGACAATTGTAGCAAAAATAGTAACAGCAAAAATAATAATTTTTTAACAAGACTAAGAAAAAAGAAAAATCGTAGCTGTTAAACTGCAGGTATTGCTGCTCATTTGTCACCTCTGAGCTGGCTCACCTACCCTGCTCCTCCATTCTGATTAGAGCTGTGAGACCCAGGTCATTAAACCTCAAGTCCATAGTAAACATCTTGTCATAGTAAACGTCTTGCCAAGGCCAGCTGAAAGCTGCTAATGGTGCAAAACCTCCTGAATTCATAAAGCAGTTTTCCACATGTAGCGTGTTCCGCCTGCTCCTTAAGGAGAGTGCAGAGTTGTACTAGCCCATGGTCATGTGGAAAGCAGCTTTTTGATCAGAAGAGTCTGAAACAGGAACCTGGTGGTAACATTTCTGCAGGACTTTCTCTGACAGAGGCACGTATTTGCCAAGGGGCTCTAGTCTGACGTGTGCTGGAGGCGGCTGTTGCACAGGAGTCTGGTTGGGATGTTGCTTTGCCTCATCCACACATCAACTGGGTCTGCTCCAAGGGCCACTATGGACTAGAGAGACAGGAACGGCACTTTGGGTTGATAAAGTGGCTGCTAATTGTGTGTGCATTTGTGTGCACCCACATACCTATTGCATACAGGCAACACGTGGTTAGAAATGGCTGTTATCACCAAATTTGTCAGGTAATTGAAATTGCTGTGTGGTAGCACTTGTGAATGCCTATGACATGGAGCAGTTGGAGGGATGGAGATGGTGGAAAGGGTATGGTGGCTTGAGGGGGCAGCCTCAGCACCAAAGGGAAGGTGGGTAACCACAACAGTGGTGCATGAAGGCAGCAATAGATCAGCATCAGCCACAGGTTGCAGAACAGCTTCCCACCTCTTCTGGGGTTGGGATATGTGCTCTGCTTGTGATGCTGTCCTTCCTCAGCTCTGCCAGGTTAAGGGCATCTGCCTACACATCAGTCTTGGAAGACATGGTGCTCTGCTGCTGGCAATAGCATATCATTGGGCATTAGGTACCGCTTAATTCACAGCTTACAACTGATCTTTCCAATTGTCATATATTTATTAGTATAGGAGGTTTATCCCAACAGTTTAATGATGCTGATTCAGCTCTCTAGTCTGGAGGAAGCCTGTTTGTTCTTTTTCCAGAGCAGATCTACTCACTGGGATGCGGTGAAGTTTTTGATGGACAAGGACTATTTTTGGTTAGGAATCAGTTTCTGGAGAGCTTTGCCAGGTCTGCTGAACCACTGGGAAATGTACTAAAAAGCGAGAGAGGGCATTTTTCTAGCATTTATTTATGTGGTCAAAGGGAGGAAAAATCATTAGAAACTGAAAGTTAGCATGTTTTCTTACCACCCATGGAATTACTCTTTAATATTAAGAGTTTATTGTGTAAATTACCAGCATGAGAGATAAGTGGGAAACCTGCAGCTAAGCTCCTTCACGAGGCTCTGCAGCCATCCATAAATCTTCTGAATTGTACACTCTAAGCTTATGATGTATTGCCCTTTGAGCAAATTATGTATTTGCATTAATTGCATATCATTTCCTGTATAAGCAGACAGTTGTTATTTGTTATGGTTTATTATAAAAAACATTCTATATATATATAGAATTAAATATGCTAATTGACTCTGGTAGTGGTACCAGGTGGGTCTAATTTCACTTACATTGAGAAATCCTCCCCTTCCTTTCCCATTCCTGATTCTTGTATAATATAACCATTAAACAACACGCAGGGGTCACTACAAATTCCTCACCATTCCTCTGCTTTAGCTCCTTCAGTGCTGTTTTGGTCCCCATGACAGTTTGTGCATCTTTGTGTTAGTTGGCGTTACTGGAGGCATGCACCATCCATCCTGGCATGACGTATTCATATGGAGCCTTGAAATACTTTGAGCCCTTTCTTTGTTCTTTCTGTTCTATCTACATAATTAAAGCACTTGAAGTCTGCAAAGATGGACACTGAATCAACCCAGAGAGATAAAGATGTCTACTTATATTTATTTCTCCTGCAAGATACATTCTTTATAAATCCTTCATGGCACATTAAATATTGACTCTTGCTTGTCTCAGTGAACAAAATAATTGTGCATCACCAAATTCCTCCTTCGAAAGCACAGGATGGATTGCTGTGGCATTTTACTCAATATTTAATTAAATTCAGAGTTTTTAAAAAGATAGAGAAAAACTCATTCTGATATATGAGGAACCCAGGAACTTTAGACCTGCAGTTGGTTTAACAGCAGCAAGCAGTTTCTTCAAGGATGCTCTATGGAGCGTGGCTAACACAGGCTGTTAGGAAAGATAGTTAGAAAAGGCATCAATATTTAGAAACCATGACTAAAGAATCTGATTTTTACAAAAATCCTACCTATAGACAATAAAAGTGTATTGTTGAAATTAACGAGTCTGGATCTTAAAGCATTAACCTTGCTTTAATTGCAAGTGCTCGTTAGCCGTGGCTCAGCCCTTGTTTTATGGACTGGCACTTAGCATGTGATGAATGCTTCACGCTTGCCTGCAGTAATTCCCCCGGATGGCTGGGAAGCACCGGCCTCTCTCAGCAGGACGTTTGCTGAGCACAGAGTCCTTCGAAGGAAGGAACAAGTGATTTTTCTAGTGCTTGAAGGAAAACCTGGGCGCACACTTCATGCTGCAGCTGTGTCACCTTAGATTTTCCTGTAGGGTTTTTTGAGTGCAGGTTGAAAAATAACTGGTCTGGGGAGAATGCAGATTTCCAGGGATGCTTTGTTAATTGCTGTACATGTAGAGAAAAGTTAAGTAATAGGACCTAGACTTACAATAGAAGGTTTGCCACTCTTGCCATTCTCTCCTTCGGACTCTGTGTGCGGTGGGGTGTCCTGGGACCCTCTTTGTAGGTGTGCCTTCTTCCCAGTGTCTTCCTTGGGGAAGGTAAGCCAGGAAAAGCCCCACGCTTGGGGCAGAAGATGTTAATATTTGCAGTAGTGCCTAGCTCTGGAGATGACCAGCTCAGCAGAGGCAGCTTTATCCTTGTCAGCAGAGCTTGTATCTGGAGGGGGCAGAGTCGGGAGGCTTGGGTGGTCATTTGGTTATCCTAATGAAGTGCCAGGTGGCTGAAAGGGTGGGAAAGACTTTTCTGTCATTAACTGAAGCACAGTAAGTTCTCTCCCACTGCTCAATGCAATTTGATTAAAGCACATTGCAGATAGAGTGCTGGTAATGGTGCTATTTAGTATGGGTTCATTATGAACATCTGCTCAGTGTGAAGGTAAAAAAGTCAACCAACAATTTCCACATAAACCATAAAACGGCATTGAGGTGTAACATTTACAATGGATAATCCGGATGATGCTTCAGAAACGTTATGATGGTGTGAGGATGTGTGTGGAACTGGAAGGAGAAATGGCAGCTTTAAAACGATAGTGATAAATGCCTGCCATTGTTGGCTCAGTTTTCATCTTGTGTGAATAAGGTCAGTCTTTTTGTGGTAGATTTAACACAAGATTGAAGAAGAAATGAAATGTGTTAGTTTTAGCATATTGCAGCACATTTCTGGGAGTGTTTAAACAGTGAAATATGTAATAAGGTATAATATTGACTAAAAATGGGTTTTCTTTTTTTTTCATTTTTCTGAGTAAAAGTCTTGAATTAAAATTAATTAAAAATGGAAGGAGATTACCGGTATTGAGTGTGGAAAGTCATGTCTTGGGACCCAACAAAACATGGGATTAACTTAAGTCTCAATACTTTAGAATTTAATTCATTTTTGTCTCAGGAAAAGGTGGGGGTCAGCCTCTGGGGTATTCCTGGGTAGTGCTTTGGAACTTCTTTCTTCCACTGCAGATGCTTTAAACATCTGTATTTATACGAAGAAAGCACGAAGATTGTGCAGAAGTAAAATCACCTTGGAGTTAGGACTTTGAGGCTGTCACTGCCACCCAAAGCTGGGACACAGCATACACTGGTGTCAGGAATGTGTTGGGTCCTGCTGAAAGCGAAATCTCTGACATGGCTGAATGTAGTTTAATAGTGGTTTATGTCTTCGGCAGAGGTATTTGTGAATACTGTGAGGCGAGTGCATCCCTGCTCACCTATCAGGCAGCTCTGAACTGAAATAAAACACTGCTCCTTGCTTACAGCAGCACTGCTTTGTGCTGCCATCAGTGTTCAGTCACGATGTTTATGGGGAACAAGGAATGCCATTTTTAATAAATACTCATACTTCCCTGATGGATTAAATTGCTAAATGAATTAGCCTAACTTTCTGCAGAATGTGTTTTAAAACAAACTTTATGCCTGCAATACTGACATACACTGAAATCTATGGGGAGGAACTCAGTAAGATGCTGGCAGCCTGGGGATTTATTATTTACATAATTTTTGAAGGTTTTCATCTTTCTGCAGCCTATAAGCCGATGGTTGTAACGTTTGATTTCCCTGGATCCTAATTAAAATTAGGAATGTTGAATTTAAGGAGTAAAGTGACCATTACTTTTCTGCCATTAAGTTTTTATTTTTGCTTTCTCTTTCACTTCTCCAAGGCTATGCTGACTTCTGTTTTATTTTGACAGCATTTTGCAGTTGTGCTGTGATTTTCCAGGAGTCCGAAGCAGCGTTTGGATTGACACACTACTTCTGAAAGCTTAGCTGTTAAGTTGCCCTTGGCAGTGTATTTGCAGTGGCTGTGGCCCTGTTGGTCCAATGTTGATGGATGCTGGGACTGCTGGTGTGATTGCAGCGCCAGGTGCTTCGCAAGCATGAGTTCTTCTGTCCTCATCATCCCTGTGAGGCAGGAATGGGCCATCGCACCTCTATAGGTGCAACAGGTAAATCCCATTGCTTCTGTGTGTAACTTAATGTTATGATGTGACGCTGAGTTTCAGATGCCACCAGTCTTGCTGATGTGGGGTAACCTGCTCATTGTGCCATCCCTTAGCAGATGACAGCCCTGTATGATGATGCTTCTAACTTGAATTCTGACTTACAAATGTAGCTTGGGGTTCATGCTCTCTGATGGATATAGCTTTATGTTTATATGACATTGACTTTTGCTGTGTCATCATGGCCAAAGTTGGAAATGTTAATTATTACAGCATGGTTGTTTCAGCACTATGAGGGCTTGTGCCGTTCTTCTGGAGAAGGGCTTACAGTGTGGATCTCAGTCCAGCTGCAACACTAGCTTAAGCCAGATTTTTAAAGTCTCAAAACCACCACAGAGGTTTCTAATGAGGTTATTAGGTGTGTCTGCTCCCGGTCTGATCCTGCTCACATACACAGCTACCTCGCTTAGACATTTCTTCCCTTCTGTTAAATTGCACTGGGCTTCTAAAGGCTGCAGACATGGCCATGGTTATGGCTCTGTGCCACTGAAACCAGAGCAACACAAGAGCATGATGTGGGCTGTGAGGTAGAGATTCCAGTTTTCATTGGAAACTGGTTAGAATTAATTGCTAACATTAAGAAAGGAAATTATACAACCACACTAATAAAACTCATGGTTCAGGTCACCAGCTGATTGCTTAAGGTCAACAAGATATGCCTTACCCAAATACTTCATTGCTCAGCTGGCTCTCTGGCCCTACATTAAGGTGCTTGGGTGTATTGCAGTCATTCGGATATGGAGATTAACCAGAACAGCTGTGTCTGGAGCTGAGTAGTACATACAATATATTGTTTGCTGGCTCTCTGCCGTCCCTCTTATTTTTGCCTTCATCATAGTTCTAAAGCTCCGTGTCCTGACACGCTGGTTACCCACCAGCTGATGAACTGCGGCTAGTTCAAACCATGCAGGGGCTGGACACTGACATGCCATCAAAACCTAATCGAGACGTACTGGAATGGCTGCAGTTATGATGGTTAGGCAGCGTCTGTCCAGGTACATGGCAACAGGTGTAAAATAAAGCCACTTTTGCCATTGGTGTGGTAAGATGACTAAAATGAGGTAGTTGGTTATAAAAGCATAAAGGAAGCCTAGAAATGTAGTGTCACCTTCTGAGATATGTAGTTTGAGTGTTTCCCATCTGCCTTGGGATCTGCTCTTCTTTAAAGCTTTCATACATTAGAGGAATCTGGGGACGTTTTTTAAAGGAGAAAATGAACTCCTAAGCATTTGGACACTGAGAGAAAGTGTGAGTTGAGTCCTTTAAGGAGCTACAGTAAGTTGTATGTAGTGAGTGAGTAGTCCCACACAGTTTTATATATATGTATTAGTGCTTTAAAAAGGCTAATTTCCCAAAGATGAGGAAGGTTGCAAGTAAAGTTGGCCAAGCCCAAAAATGTAGAGGTAAACATGTGAATGAGATTTGGAAGTCTCTTTAAGAATTTATTAAATGATGATTAAAAAGATTGGGATTCCACAGCCCAGAAGAGTGGCAGCTTTTGCTAGAAGTCTTCTCTATCTCAGAGCATGAAAAAGGCAATTCATTATCAGATACCAAAATAAGAAAGAGGAAACAGAGATTGCTAAGGCAAAAATGCAAGTATGGAAAAGGGAAGTGAAGTAAACCAGCCTGGGCTCTTCCATTAATGAACTCTCCAGAAGCAGATGAGTGGTTTTGGCTGGGTATGATGATTTTGAACAAGTTTACTAACAAACTATCTGAAGGCTGTTGTGTGCTTGAAAGGGCAGGTGGGTGACCATCCTGTGACTTACCCTTCTGTGAATCCTTTCAAAGTTGATATGAATTTACCTAATGAAGAATCATTGAATGAGTTTCATTGTGATAATTTTCTCTTGCATTTAGCTGGGTGCTGTTCATAGAGATTTTATTATTATTTGGGCCTTTAACCCAGTGTGATGTATTGGTAATATGGGTATTGTTATGTTTGAGCAGTTCCACCATGTGATCTGCCCTTCAGCTGTTTGAATTCCCAATATCTTGATCATGTTTTCTACATCTTTTTCCTACTTTCTGGCTGCCTTGTAACTGCTCAAATACAAGGAGCTGCTCCCAGCACTTCCAGAACAGATCTGATGCCCTTTGATACGAGCTCTCTAAACAAGAGCTAATGTCAATACTCATGGAAATCTACATCTCGGGCACTGGGAATTCAGCTGAAATATTTAGAAGTGAAGAAAGTGAAGGGCAAAAAAGCCTCTTTCCTGTACTTGGCCTGGCTGTTTATCTTTGAATGCCCAGTGCACCTCTGTGCACTGTTTTTATGGTGGAATATCGGAGGCAGAAATTCTGCCATGGGACAGAGAGAGGCCTTTCTGTAGATGTCTTTGACTAAGTTTAGTATGCAGGAACAGTTGGTTGTCAGCTGTCTGAAGTGTTGATCAGGGAGGAGAGAGAATGCTTCAATATGCATCTGCACAAGTTCTACCTGCAGAGATGGGTGGCAAACACAGTCTCACCTGTGGGCTTTAACGTGAACTGACGCAGGGACAGCCATTGTTTGGAGAGGGTGAATGGAGCCACCACTAATTATAGCCTTACTGTAGCTGCTTTTCAGTGCATGTTCTGCTTCAACCTTGAAGCAAACTCAATCAGCCTGTTTGGAGAGGAGCAATCTCATGGTACACAGATGGTGTTCCCAGGAATGCTCACATGGATGAGGGAATTTGATGGTTCCACCAGTGTTCTCTGCAGCAGTTCTGCAGTTTCTTTTTCTCCTCAGCAAGGAAGAAAACCAAGATACGTAACATCTGTGTGAAGCTGCCAGGAAACAGCAGATCTGTCATCTTCCAACTCATCTGGGTTTCTCAGCGTGGCATGTGAGATGTGTGGTCCTGTGTAGGTCAGACAATGAATTACTAGTGCTAAGGTGTTTGGGAGCAGTGCCCCCGTGCAAACCTTGCCTACCAAGAAGAATTAATTCTAATACATCTCCTTCTCTCTAAGAGAAGCCCTCTCAATTTTGCTGTTATTATTTTTTTAATTTAAAATCCTTAATGTATGGTGAAAGCTCACACGGGCACTGTCTGCTTCCAGGTGAACTTCCCATCAGAATCCCATTTTGCACAGATGGCCACCACTACTTCAGCACTTGAGATACTGCCTGTGCTTGCAACATCCAAGCCATCTGCAGCAGATTAATTTCTTCAGGCTTCTCTAAATCTCTTCCTCCTGTGATCTCCCAGCATCATTTACAAACCCCCAATTTGTGCCCTCCGGGTTGACCTTTAAGCCTTTCTTACCTTAGCTGAACTTGCAGCATATGCATCTGTTTACAAGGCTTTGCTTTCAACATAGCAGGGTATTATAGGCTGAGTTTTCACCACATGGCACTTGCTTCACAGCTACATCTTCAAGAAATTCCTTACAGGTGCAGGGATCCCAGGCTGAGGCTTTTTCCAACATTGTGACCCCAGTGAATATTTTTATTGATTGTCTTTCTTCTTTTCTCTGCAGCTACCACCAGCTCTTGTGCTGACTTACACTTCTTTTAGCTGTGCATTCAGAGACTCTCCTTACTATTACAGAAAAATCAAATAGGTACAATAATGGCTCAGGTCAGAAACACTCTATTTTATGACCTTCACAAATCCTCTTTACTTGTGGGTTTTATGTGATAAATTAATGCTTTAGTGAGAAATGGTTTCAAAGTAGACGTATTAAATAACACTTGGTTTTGACCTGTAGCATCCTCAAGTCAAGAGTTCTTCAGATTTTCTTGCACACGTTTGTAGTTATTCATCGGGTTTGCAGCTGATATGTTTCTATTCATTTGGGGCTGTTAGGGAAGCAGCTGAAGTATTCTCAAGTATGAGATTCAGCCTTCGCTTTTCTTTTCTGAAAACAGATGGTCTGCAATCTGTGGTCAACAGGAGCAGGGGTCCAGACTGTTAGATGTGTGGCTTGCACAGCAAGCAGCAGCCTCTGCCATCAGCAAGGTTGTGGGATGGTTTTCCCCCCCTCTATTACTTGGTATCTATATGTCTGCATTCCCTTTCTTTGTGTACTTCCATCTGAATTTGAAAGCCAAGTTAGACTGTCTGTTTTGTGATACTGATAGTTGTACTTTGTCCTGTATGTATCCTTACCCCCACCCCAGGAAGTGAATCATCCCTTGGTGTTTAACGAGGGTGAAGATGTGCATGAAGGCAATGATACGCTGCTCGATGGGAATTGAGCACAGGGCAATAGGAATTACAACACCCAAGGCAGGAGAAGGGCATTGAGCGCTTAATACAACATTATCAGGCAGTCCCAGTTGTGGATTATTGAGAGTTGTCCCATGAATTCTAAGCGTAATTCCAGGGATTTTAATGAATCCAAATCTGTCAGAGGTGCTACCCTGTAACCATAGAGCTATCACAGCTAATACTTTCCTTTCAAAGAGGGAGAAGTGGTAGCTTCAGGTCAGCGCTCTGCAAAGTGTTGGAGAGGCTGAAGGAGTCATAATGATTGGATGTGACCTGTCTAGATTTAAGCAGAGCGTCTAACACACAGGAAATAATTATTTGAAGTTGAGATGATGACAATTAATATTAAAACTGTAAAGGAGCGAAGGAGCTGGCTGAAAGAGTGACGGTGTGTCGTATATGCCAGGGAGTTACTGTGGTGTGTGGTAGCAGAGGGGTTAAGGCAGTGTTTTCTTAGCTTGCAAAAGTAAAATTGGCAATGCTAAGGAGGTCTAGATGCAATACAGGGAGGATTAATTAACACTATTGATTAGGGTCATGCAAGTGAAAGGAAACTGGGTAGCATAAAATGCAAAATAATGCGTTTCTAGCAACACTCTGTTATCATATGGGGACTTGTCATCTTGGGATGATGGGGAGGGAAAAAGATTGGCTATATAATGGTTGCTTGCAGGATGAGTGAGGTATGTGGGCACCTGTGAAAAGACTGTGATTTATGGTTTTTAGGATGTATTTGGTAAGGCATCTTTAGTAAAGACTCAGCAAGGTTACAGCTGCTGTGTGAGGCCTTATTGTGACCTGATTAGGAATACTTTGTGCAGTTCTAGGAATTGCGTTCCAAAAGGTGTAATTATTTGGATGAGGAGCAGAAAAGGGCTTTTGGAATGAAAAGAGCAGTGTAGGAACTTTCTTACAGAGGTGTGTTACAGGAGCTTGTCTTACTCAGACTGGTAACATGGAGGTTGAGAGGGAATAGGCTGACTATAAATGCATCTGGGAGTAAGAGGTAAAGAAGAAGATTTTCTTAAAGGAAAACATGGATTCAGTATTAAATTAACTATAAATTTAAAAAATAATGTTTGGATGGAAAACTAGTGGGTGATAAGGTGACTGCTGGCCATTCAAGGAGTAAAGTTCAAAGCAGTAGTAGTAGGGAAGAAGGAGCATAGCTTATGTCCTGAACAGTTGGGAGCATGAGCTTTGCTAGCATCTCATCTTTGTATTCGTGGGACCTCTGTCTGTTTGTCTCTCTGCCAATTCCTGATAATTTTCCATTCCCACTGGATTTTTTTTCTTGCAGTCCTTTCTCTGCAAGTCCTTTCTCCTTTTCTCTTTTCCTTGCTGAGGAGTATAATATGAAGGCTGTCATACTCTTGAGTCAGAGCTTTGGAAGCCAGTGCTTCAGTAAATGTGGAATTAAAGCAGAATTAATTTAGTTTGCCCTAAATGTTATAATAACATTTCATTTATTTATATATTATGGCAAATGGACTCAAACTAGAGATCTGTTTCCTGGAAGACCATTTTGATACAGTTTATTTCAATAAACTGAGACCATTAGAGATGCCTCTTTTAACTTGTGGTCTGAAATTAAAATGAAATGATCAGCCTGTTGGCTAATTAAGAGAAGAATTGTAATTTAAGGTTTAATATTCAGTGTAGCTGTAAGTCACAGGGTAACGGTGGTGGCTAAAATAATATTATGAGAAACTGACATTTTCATTCCAGTGCTGAACTTGTGCAATGAATCAACCAATTTAAAGTCTGATGGTGTTGTGAGTGTGGCTGAATGTGCACGCTCTGCACTGGCAGCGTCGTGCTGTCCAAATGTAAAGCTGCTTTAAGCAGAAGTTGATTTGGACTTTTGTTTAGCTTTTCAGTTGAAAGGGGCTATTATCCGATATCATTTTCACCAAAAATGAGCACCAGCTCAACTAGCAGGGTGTGAATTAAATTTGATGCTATAATGTCCATAAAAAGCCTGTGTAAAGCCAAAAGTTAAACGCTCTTTTACTGGGGTGAGAACTGTTCATTGTGTGGGAGGAATTGTAAAATCCTACAGAAAAAGGTGGGGGGGGGGGGGGGAAGCAGGGAGGGTTTTCTTTACAGTGTGTGTGTTATGTGTATATACATATATACATATATATATATACACACACACACACATATATATATATATATACAAAGACACATGATACAGCACTGTGCCATGGCAGCCTGCCCATGTGCAGACACCAATGGAGCTGATGGATTTTCTGGGTCAGTAGCTGCAGTTTTGCTCCAGACAGTCCCTGTGGTGTCCCTCGGGGTGACCAGCCCCATCAGCATCAGGCCACACTCAGCACCAGCCCAAGGGGACTGTTGTGCTTTGCCTACCCTGGAGCACATATGTCTGCCCAGGAAAGGCTGTGCATATGGACCAGTTGGTTTGCATGAGGCTGCTGTGCTCTCACAGAAGATAAAAGCAGAGGTATTTGTTGGGGGGGGGGGAAGAGAGGTGGCTTTCTGTTTGGCTGGCTTTTTGGTGGGGCAGAGGCAATGCTGTGGAAACAGACCTTTCTGCCTGAAGAAAGAATAAGCATGTGCAGTATGGATTTGCTGTCTGAATTACTGCCATGTCTGGTTGGGTACTTTGTTGGGTTACGCTACCAGAAGATGAGTGGAAAAGCAGGAGCAGTGCTTGCCCTTCTCACAGTGAAGGTTATAATAAGGCTTCCAACATCTGATGTTCCCAGAGCAATGCACCATGAAACACATGTTCCATGGGCTGTACTGGCGCTGAATATACGTATCCAAGCTGCAGATTTGCTTGCTAGAAGTAGCCCATACGTCCTTGCTTCACACCCAGGAGATGTGACTTTAACACTGGCAGACCAGGCAGTGAGTACCCAGAGGTGGTTACGGAGGTGCTCAAGTTGCCTGTGGCTCCCATGGCACAGGTGACAGCTCAGGCTCTCCTTGGTGCTCCTGTTGGAAACCCTCCCGGTGTGTTCAGCAGTGCACAGAGCTGGCTCCATGATGTCCTCTGCTGTCTTCCCTAGTTTAAAGCTTTTAATCCAAGTACAGCCATTTCCAAGACTTATTTAGAGCAGACATAATTATGCTTAAAGCAAAATCAGGGGCTAATGACAGGATGACCTGTTGGATGGCCAGGTTCAACTGCATTGAAGGTCAAGTTGGATGGGGCCTTGAGCAGCCTGTTCTAGTGGAAGGTGTCCCTGCCCATAGCAAAGGGGTTGGAGCTAGATATCTTTAACATCCCTTACACCACAAACCATTCTGTGATGACCTCAATGCCCTAATGAGCTTTGTCCTCCCCAGGATGTGACTTGACATGGAAAATGCCAAAGAGAGGTCAGAAACATCCCTGTGTCAGTGTAATCCCATGGCATATGACCCCATGTCTACACTAAATTCCTTTTGTTTTAGTCTCTCATTGGGAGAGGTATTATTTAAGCAGTAGTACTGGGGTTTTCTGGTCGAACTAAACCATGAAACATGGTTTCATTGGAGAACACTCAGTCTGTTGCTGGTGCTGTTGTTTTAAAAAGAATGGAATTATTGAATAAAGTCAAATAACTAAAAGGAAAACAAGGAAATTGCAGTTTATAAATTGTTTGTAATTTGTTTGTAAGCATAAAAAGAGGCTACATTTGTTGGCTGAATTATTCATGATGAATTATTTGCTCAGCCCTAGTTAGTAGAAGATTTACAACTTTCTTCTTTCTCTGTTACTCTGTTCAGGCAGATAGCTGTTTCCTCTGTGGATACTATATTAAAATCTCTGTGTACAGAACACACCATTTCTTATTGCAGGCATCTATCTTCAAAGCAAAAGTAAAAAAAAAGAAAAAGGAAAATGCACCATGAAGATTGGCTTCTGTTATATTTATTGAGTTAAAACTTGCAGACCTGAATTGTCTCATTTGTCAT